GGGAAAATCGGAAGTGGATGGTGACCTCGAAGGTTTGCCGGTCGATCCGGAGGCTCCAGATGCTGCGGCAGCTCTATCAGCCAGGCGAAACAAGCCGTACTTCAAAAAGTTCAAGGAGCCGGACTCCGACGAGGATATCGGCGATCCGCGACAGCTGTTCAATGTGCAGGAGTCCTGGCGAACCCTCATGTCCCTCTCCAGTTGCCAAAAGGTCATGGTGTCGTAAGTTATGTAGGGGAACCTATGAGGCATTCAACACACAGCTCTATTTTGGTTATTATGCAGAGAGAAAGCTCGAAAGGCCCTGAAGATTGAGGTGGGCGTCAATGTAACGCAGGAGTTCCCATGGAAGCAGGTGCAGTTTAAGGACCTTAGAGATGTGCTCTTCGACGAACTGGAAAATTCGGCTGATCTGATGAAGAAGTTCAAGAACTTCAATCCGGAGCACTTTGTCCTGATTGGTTTCTGTCCACTGTTAACCGAGCAGGAAGATGATCCGCCCGAGGGCGAACCCTTCATCTTCTACTCGAGCATCAAGGAGTCGAAAATAGCCCTGGGTATCATCCAGAATATGGAGCACTTCGAGCGTTGGCGGATGCAGCGACGTCTGAGAAAGAAGCCCCGTCGATGGGTGAGCCATGGCACTGAGGAGGAGATGACCATCATGGTGGAGCGCTTCAAGGACGAACCCATCGATGTGGAGATCCAGAGCGTATATCCCATTCAGATGCCGCGGCACGTGGCCTTCGATTACCGGATGACACGGGATGTCCGGGATGGAGTGATCGAGCTTTTGCCCAATGAGAACATCAAGTGGGATAACGTGACCAAGAAGCGGGTCAATGTGTCGGTGCAATCCGCTCCTCCGAAAATCGATAGAGAGCAGCAAACCAACCCGACTTTTCCATCGAACGCCTGGTCGCAGTACCTGTACGAGATTGATGATGAAGGTGGGTTTCGTTTGTTTATAATGCAACATCAATTTAAATATATCCAAAGACCTTGAGCTGGATAATACGGATGTGGACGAGGAGGAGGAGAAGAAGAAGGCCCAAGCTAAGCCGGGAACATATGTGGAACCCGAAAAGAAACCCCCCGAAATGTCCGCCCAGATTGAAATGTTGCTCAATACCCTGGAATTTAATCAGATCGACAGCTATCGGTGGGTTAGCAAAAAAGTTTTTAGCTTCGTTTAAATTTATCTCGATGGATTTCTTCCCAGCGATGACTATTCCTTGATATCCACACGACAAGTGGTGCAGTACTCCAATCCCTATCTGCAGGAGTTCCTCTGTTTTGCCAACATATCAAAGAGCAACAAGCGCTTTGTGGCTGGCTACGATTGGTATCCAAAACTATCCGGACTAATAGCGGTTTCATATGCATTCAGTACTCCAGCTACCGTAAATGAGGCCAGTAATCGGGTGGACTATGTGCAGCGGGCGGTTCTCGAGCCCAATCCCGTACTCCTGTGGAGCTTTTCCGATAACCTCAACTATAAGTTGGAGTTCGAGGCCCCAATCGAGAATACCGCCCTGACATTTTGCCCCTTTAACGGGGACATCTTACTGGGAGGCAGTAAGAATGGTCAGGTGGTGTTGTGGGATCTTCAAGGTCGCTGCGAGAAGCTGGAGGAGGAGGAGTATTTAACGGCGGCCCAGGCCAAGTACCGCATTATGATCGGGGAGTTCCTAAACTGGACTATTGATATCGAGGACAATGTCATTGCACCGGCCACCATTTCCTTGTTGGATTGCTCACCGAAAGGTGCCATCACAGGATTTTATTGGCTGGGTCGGTCGATATATTTAAGTCAATTTGGAAAGGTCTACAATGACCCCGATACTCGGAACCACCACAAGTTCTTCGTCACGTGTGCCTTCGATGGCACCATTACCTTTTGGGACTTGGACAGTAAAGGAAAGGGTGCGAAGGAAAAGATGCGAAACCGGATGCTGCCCAAGGAACTGACCTCAAGTGAATCCGCATATAAATCCATGACCCTGAAGCCCACCTACAATCTATACTTCCCGGAACCGATAACTGGAATCATAGCGGACACCTCGTGCTTCTCTTGCCTAACTCCTGTTGGCAAGTTGATACACGCCAATCCCTCGAATTATCCCATCAAGTTGATATCCAAGGATCCGCCAAATGTGCGCCAGAGCATGATAGTGTCCACATTTTATGGTCATGTCAGCCGGATTGATTGGCAGGGCACATATACGGAGGGGGAGGCCACCGAGGTGATCAACAGCTCGATACCCTTTGCCATGGTCCATGATGGACCTGTGGTGATGGTGAAGAAGAACCCCTTCTATCCGGAGTTGTTCGCTTCCATCGGTCGGACCATCCTGGCCATTTGGAAGGAGGACTATAATTATTCACCCATCTTTTGGCGGAAGAGAGCCTGTGACCTCACCGCCGTCGCCTGGAGTGAAACGCGTCCGGCTGTTTTGTATCTGACTAGAACGGATGGAATCCTCGAGGCGTGGGATATACTGGGTAACTAGACGTTAACTTAGCGAATCGAATGTTATTTATATCTCCAAACAGCCCGCGACGATGATGCATGCCTCACCGAGATCCTTGGCGGCGGTATCATTACTGCGATAACGGAGCATCGTCCCTCGCTTCCCTCCAAGATCTTGGGCATTGGTGATTATAACAGTAGCATCAGAATGGTGAAGCTGCCCCATTCCTTCGATGTGCCCCTACCCAATGAGCTAGATCAGCTGATGAAGTACGTCCTGAAGGAGGAGCGCCGCAAGGTGGGCATTCAGGCGTGGGAACAGAAGTACTACGAACTCAACAAGGACATCATAGAGGCAAAGCGGGAGGCTGCGGCGGAAATCCGCAAGGAAATGGATAGGAAGGAAAAGGAGGAGCAGCTAGCCACCAGGAAAAAGGGCCAAAAGTCCGGCGATGAGGGCGGTGAAGGGGGCGAAGAGACCAAGTAGGTAATAATATTATCGCAGGCTTATACTATTTTTTTCTCTTTTTGCACTACCCAGAGGTAAGAAGAACTACAGTGGCTTGAACTACAACGAAAAAATGGCTGTCAAGTGGGACGAGCTTAATCTTAACCGGATGATGACCATTTTGATGTCCCGCAAGCAAATGGATCCCGAGAAATTGGCCAGGGAGACGGCGCTGGAGAAGGAGCGGCACGCCTACGAGGTTGCCAAGAAGAAGTCCCATTTGGATGTCCTGTCCAGAGTGGAAAACGATATCGCCAACATACGCTCCAGAATCCTGCCGGCGGAGCTCCAGGACATGCAGCGCAGTGAGATGATCGCGGAGAGGGTGAAACGCGAGGTTGAAGAAGCGGACTCCTATGAAAAGGTGTGCGAAGACTCCTTCGAGATTCTGAACAACTTCAACGAGTTCAAGCCAATTGACTACATCGAGTTTCTGGAGCGGGGCCGCAAGAGACGTCAGCTTCTGGATCAATCCCTGGGTGGAAACACGGATCGACTGCGGTGGTACGAGGACAGGGTCAGATTGGGGGAACTGGGCGAGTGCCAGTTCATATACGAGCCCCTTAGCGGATCTCAGGCGGAGGAGTCCAGTCAGCACGGATTTACGGCTCGTCAGAATATGATGTCGAAATCGAACAGCGATATTATTGTAGACGATTTCGACGGTTAACAGTTTGGTTTGGTCCTTATGATTGGCAAATGTTATTAAATACTCTATTATATAAATTTCAAATGATTTGGTTCTTCCATTTTGTTAGTATGGGTGTGAGGCAGAAAATAATAAAAGGCTGGCTTACATGCGACAACCATCCTATACTCAAGTGGAAACTTAAAATGAAAAGCATAATCATGCTATGAAGATAAAATCAAATTTTATCTATTGACTTTCCACGCCATTTTAATGCTTTTCTTAAGCTTTGTTTAGATAGCGCATTAACTAAGCTGTTGGCCATTCAAAGTGACCCACCCATCGTGCTAAACGGTTGACTACCTCTGGCCGTTTGCCAAATAAAATTCGGCTCTCAATTAGGGGCCCATTGAACCTTGAAGAGCCGCTTCCGCTCGACGGCCAGCTGGCGGGTTCAAGTTTATGACATTTCTAGGCATTATGTTTGTGTGCACAAATGAAGTCATCCCGTGGACGAGGCGTGCCCCGAGTTTAATGAACCTGCCCCCCAAAACGGGCAGGGGAAAACCCAGTGGACTGGACTCCAAGTGGAGTTGGGGGAATTCCCACGGCCATGCAACCTCTGCAAAGTACTGCAGCTAAAGTACATTGGGGCAGGGGTAAATTTGAATGCAAACCGACAGCGGCAGTCCATCATTTTCGCAAGCAGATAATGATATACATTTCGGAAGCAATGCATCTGAACTTTACCATAATTTCGAGTGCATTATTATTGGCCCGCTCTGGGCAGTTGAATGCAAAGTTGCAGATACATTTTGCGTTGCATCATCATCATGGACGTCGACCACCTGTTGTCCTTAAAGCGATAAGTATTAAGTGATTTCTGGACAGCCGCTCGCGAGTTTTCCTTTTTTTTCCCCCCATTTATTTATTAATACAATTTTCGTGCGCTTGCGTGCGTCTGCAACTGAGGCAAGTGCATTTACATAACAATTGGCCTTTGAATTCAAATTGGCAGCGGGCTGTGGCCCCTCCATCGAATCGGGCTATGCGGCGACTGTGAGGCTGCGGGTCTGCATTAAAATCTCTTTACCGCCATTTAAAATAATTTACGATCTTATGCAAATCGCCGCTTTCGTTGCACTAGCCCCAAAACTTGCCACCGTGACTCGACATAATGCTCGTTGGCCAGAAATTAAACGCACACATCGATTATTCACGCCCATTGTGCGCCACTTAACAATAACTCAAAAGTGGAAGACCGCCACAGGTGTCATGGCCAAAGACAAGCTCACACTTGTGCGTAATGGGTTTATAACTTTTTTGATCCTTGAAGGATTAAGGATGCTGCATGTTAAAAACAGTTTCAGATACATTAGGATATACGCATTCTGAAGAACATTTATAATTTTACCAATTAATCATAACAGTTTATTTCAAGTGGATGTTTTGCACTCTTCAATTTCTTGAAAATCAAATAATAAAAGCTTGTCTGCTGAGAATACTGGACTAATTAGTCCATGGATTAATCAATTATGGCTTAATGGGCATGGAGATTTAGGACAAAGGGTGATTTTGCGAAGATTTTGAGCTCCTGATTAAGTGCTGGAATCGTGATCCTTATCCACATCGGAGAAATCGATAAACTCCCCAAGTCGTTTGAGCAATTGTTTGCAAGAATCCCGCTCCCCAAAGTAGTTCGTCTTGGCCAACTGGCTAACCAACTCCAAAATGCTGACCAAAAAGCTTTTAAATTCCTTTTCGTACTGGCCCATATCCTGCTCGAGTTTTTTGGTACTTCTCTCTCCTATCGAGGACTCCACAAAGTCACAAAAGTTGAGACACAGATGGCCAAGTGTATATAGAGATTTCACAAAGGTGTTGGCAGAGGGTAGCAACCCAAGTCGCAGGCATTCTTCCACGGTGGTCTCCAATTTGTTAACTACCTCGTCAATACTTTTGGCCTTGTCCACCGTTAAGGTCAACGATTGCCATCGGGGCTCGGCGATGTCCTGGATGATGTGCTGCTCCAAACTTATCATACACATGAGCATACGGTGGCGGAGTTTTCCAGATCGATAGGTGATCTTGAGCCCGGTACCCTCTGATGGAGTTTGCCACAGGACTGTCAAATGGTGTTTCACATAGTGCAAAAAGAGCAGGACACGCTGCAACATTTGCAATTCATCTAGAAGCTCCGGGTAAAGAACAAAGCTTAGTGGCCATTTGGCTTCATAGCGAAGTGCTAATGCCTCGTAGCCGTAGAGATTCAGGACCTCCGGAGGGTCCCCCTCGCTGGAGCTCTCTTTTTCTTGCTCTACAGCTCTTTGTGCTTTATGATGTCTATCCAATTGTGTGGCTACATCGCAATCCTTAAGCTGACAGCGCAGCATATCCTTGAAGAAATCATTGGACTTTTGTAGAGTCTCAGTTAGAAGGCTCTGTAGTTTCTCGGGAATCAACCTGTCCACATTGTACTTGAGCAACTCCTGGCATTTGTTCAGCAAAGTCTCGGAGAAGCCCTCCTCCTGCAGCAGAAAATATGACTTTAAATTGCGGATGTGTAAAGGCAAATTGTGGCCCTCCACCAAAACCTTGAGAAGCTTCTGCGCTGGCAACTCATAGCATGTTTTGATGATCTCCTCATGCCCCAAATCGCTTGGACTATATGCAAGTGGCAGCTGCAGCAGCTTCATTGAAACATTGCACTGTCGCAGAATATTTAGGTACTTGCCGGCCAGAAAAACATCATCCGCCAGGGGAAGCAAGAAACCCGGCAAGCGTTCAGGCAAAAGGTTGTACCGCTCCGCCCAGTAGGCGTGGCAACATTTCTCCGGCGCCAATAGAGTACTGCTCATTGTAGTCGACGGCTCCGTGTCTTCCACAAAAAACTCATGCTGCGTGTCGAATAGAACACCTTTTTGAATCCACAACTGAACTATCTTCATGTAAGTACGACTAACAGAAGACAAAACTTTGGCCACCCGTTCCTTTAGATCTACATCAGTGTCCTTCTGATCCCGGTAACTCTGATCCAGCAGTGTTAGCACCTGGGCGCTGGTCAGATTGCCCCGGGCACTATATGACATGCTGGAGAAAGACTTTAGAATAGGCAACCAAGGACGCACCTGTCGCACCAGATCCTTTAGATTCAACTTCTTTTCCTGCAAATCTGTTTCCAACTTGGACTGTAGATCATAGTAGTCCTGCATTTGGTCACCTAACGCCGAGGCTAAGGCAAGACGCGTTCTTCCACAATTTGGCGACATATTGGTCTCCTCTATATAGCTCTGGATACTAATATAATAACCTATCAGGGGTAATATTTCATTTGCCAAAGCCCTGAAAGCCCCATTGAAAGCCTCATCCAAGCGAAAGCGAACCTTGGCTATATCCAGCGCTGACATTTCGGAAATCTGATCGATCTGGATATCAGGCTTTACATATGCAGAGGGAACCCCGGAGAAGGAATAGATTAGATCCCTCATCAGCAACTGTTCCTGGCGAGGCACACCCATCCTGGACAAATCTTCGTTGGCAAGAAAGTAACCTCCAACGCTCTCGAAGATCCACGACTCCTGCCGCGGCAAGCCATTGGACGAGCTCGTGCTGCGATTGAGACCACTGTTTCCGCTTCCCGATGGACGGTTCTTGCCATCGACGGATTCCTCACGGTCGTGAATTATCCGCATCTGGCGCTCCAACTCGTCCCTGCTCAGGTGAAAGCGCACCTTGTTCGCAAAGTCACTCACCGAATTGTCAGGATTCATTGTGAGTAGGAAAATATATCAAGGACTGAGCTAAAATTTCGAAGCTCGAAATTATTTTGGTGTCGTTTCTGAATGACTATAACTACTAAGGTATCTTTAAAATTTAATAGATAAGACTTAAAGCAAACAACAAGATAAAATGATATAGTCGAGTTCCCCGACTATCAGATAGAAATTGGGGATAAAATGAAATTAAGTTTTTTGCGAATCTACAGAAATTTACAAGATATATAAACAAGTGGAAAAAATACATTTTTCAAAAGTAGACGTCTAGAAAGTAGACGGTAGAAAACTACCAAAAAATTAAAAAAAAAAATAGATTTCTAAATTTGAATGCAGTATTTTAGAGAATTGCGCCCGAAACATTTAGAGGTATGCCACTTCAAAATCCGATTAAGATAAGTTGAGTTATGGAGCTTAGAACCTCAGCCTTAGGACATTTCTTAATTTTTTTGAACTTCTTCAACATCATACATCAGAAAAATTACAAAAAAATTTTAAAAATATATATTTCTAAATTTGAATGCAGTTTTTCAGAGAATTGCGCCAGAAACATTTAGAGGTATGCCACTTCAAAATCCGATTAAGATAAGTTCAGTTATGGAGTTTAGAACGTCAGCCTTGAGACATAAATATGTAGCGTTAGTAGAGTTTGAGTTACCATAAAAAATAGGTGGCAGTGCTGAGTATCTAATTCTTGCAGGGTTTGATTTCAATTACTGCTGATTATTTTACATAATTTCCAGCCATTGTTAATTGTGGTTCCTTTCGGTGATATCCACTGAATCGAGGAATAAGCTTAGAAATGTAAATCACGCTGGTTTTTAATCTGAATCCGCATCGTGCCCAGCGGCGATATCTTCGCTTCTGGTTCCGCCGAAGCCTGGAGCCACAGGTGCACTTCAATCCCATACTTCAAAGTTTCGAGTTGAGTTGGGCGATCTGACGCCCAGTTGTCAATCAAGCGGAGAAACAGAATCAACTGACGAACGTGCTGAGAATTTTCCATCAATTTCACGCGGTGGGAACTACGAACTTTCTATGTGCCCGTATCCAAAATATTCGCACACAGCGAGAAAATGTTTGTACACAATTTTGGACGATTATATATTATAAACATTTACATTTTTGCTTTGGCTTCAAGCCAAATTATGTATAGTGAAATATGTGAATATATTTACAATCAATTTTTCCTCTGCATGTGGGACAGTATCGAAAGTATCGCACAGGCAACGAGATAACCATGAGAACACTTTATACATGGGCTTTTGTCGCGTGAGTGCCACTTGTCGTGTGTTTGTTGCTACTGCTGTTGCTACTTCTGTTGCTGCAGTTGCACTTGCTGTAGTTGTTGTAGTTGTTATTGTGTGTGCCCCCTTTTTGTTGCTGGGCTCGTTTTCTCGCTGTTCTCATTCTAAACAATGCAAATGCACCGTCAGCGGCTCTGCCAGCAACATTAGCATAAATAAATAAATAACCGTACAAGCAACGAGCGGGTAAATAACAAAATAGCACCACGGCCAGCCGACCACCACCGCCAGTAACATTAATCTACGCTCCAAAAGCTTTCCGATGGACGCTCCATGGGCTTTTGTCCTCCTCGCATTTTATAGCAATAGCAGACACCCAAAACACTTGTTTGCCTTCGTCGCCTAGCGGCGCTTGCACTTCGCAGACTGGGCTTGGTGCAAGGGAATCGCCTAGAAACGCCCACACACGAACTGGTGCGAGTACAGTGGGGACAGGATATGGGAAACTGGCTGATTCAAATTGTAAGAAATAGTTATACACATTTATATACAACTTTGAGCGTTACGCCTGTGCCTTAGTAAACTGCTTTCTGAAATAAAATATTTACGCTATAATTTTGCAAGTGCCCTAATTTATTGGCCAACTTACTAAATGCTGCCTGCATCAGATAACTGTTTTTATGCCATATATTTTTTTGTTATTTTTACCTACATAGTGATTCAATACTTTCATAGTGATTATCATTTCATTGCTCCAATTTTTACTTTCATCCTTTCAGTACAGTGCTGTAAATATTTTAGTTGAACTAAATACCACCAATTTTTCCACCCCCTTTTAGTGGTCTTCCAACCACTGTGCCTAGGCCGCGGATTACAACAGCAACACCTTCGCCTTCACCGTAAAATGGGCCTCCCCTGCGTGTTTCACATGTGTCGCATGTGACTACTGTGGATTTCGCAGCCGCTTCTGCCGGCAATCAAATTGAGTGCAAAGCTCGGTTAACAGCCGAGTATTCAAGTATTCAAGTGTTCGAGTATTCGGCCAGCAGAAGAGGTGTGATGTGTGTGTGAGTGTGCAGCGAATGCAAAAACAGTTTCGATTTTTTTTCAATTTTTCTGCCTTCTGTTTTTGTCTCGATTCGGTGGGGCCCTAACTTATTGCATTATTTATGTACGAGTAGTACGCTTTTTCTGGGTTCCTCAGTAAGCCGCACGCACACGGGCCGCACCAGAAAATTGTATAAACAAAACGCGGAAAGCCACAAAAAATGAGAAAAAAAAAAATGGAAAAAAAGTACAAGTATCAGCGGTGACAATCGCAAGTGCAGGGCTCTCTCTCCGTCTCAAGTCTTGAGTCTCAAGTCGAGTCTACTGCTCACACTCACTCAAAGTTTGCCGAGGTGGAGAAGCAAACTCGGCGGCATTCTCAGTCAAACAACAAACGCAACTGAAGTAACAACGGTTCCGTACCGCGTACCGCCCCCAAAACAAAAGTGAAATTCTATTAGTTAGCCCGCGTCTTGGCCAATCCGCCCAGGAGGAATATCACAGTGCTTAGCCAGAAATCAAACGAATTCGTGGGAATCACGCCCCCAAAGTTATGGTCATTGATTCCGCTGAAAGTCGGACTGAGTGCTGTGCTTAATGTTCCAGCTGCGCAGGGAAGTCTGGAGCGAGCGGTTGGGAGTCTGGGTGCAGCGCCTCCTAGTCATCGTCCTGCATCTGTGGCACCGCTCCAGCATGTCCTTCGTTCGCCGTCGCCAGGACGCGTTCAAGTGGATTAGGCGCCGCCTGGCCAGGAGGGAGTGTCACGTGAGTACACCGAAAGAAAAGGGCTACTAGCAACGTGACCCCTTTCAGTCATTAATCTGATATTTTAGTCTCCACTTTGTCTCAGTTGGGCTTTGAAATGAGATCACTGGTAGATAACTGCTCCAGACTTGACTAGATAACAATGTGGAAATGAAACACTCATTGAGGGTACTCTGTCGATTGAATTACTGAGTTTATCGTATAAATGATTTCATTATTGGGAGGCTGTTTTAGTTTTATCGCCAATTAGTTTTATGTCCAATTACTAAACAGCTGGTTTATTACTTTTTACAGTAACATGTATATTAGTGCATACTGCAAAATAAACCATGCTAGTTTACAATTGTAGGAATTGTAGTATGAACGAAGTTGCCTGGCTACAATTAAGTTGGCACTGATTACAGGAACACCATTAATGTACAAAAATAAATAAATGAATAGAAGCATCTGTATGCATTAATATTAATGGCAAACCTTAGTACTTAGCACTTTTTAGAGTCAATAAAGTCGGTGCTCTATTATACAGGCCTGCAAATAAGTTTGTATTTAACCAAGACATTAGGCATACCCAGCCTAAACAAGTTTTTGTACCTCAATTAAGTTTATGTATTTACTACCCTGCTTAGATCATCCTGCACTAGATCCCAAGTGGGTCATCAATCCAACTCGCAACCCTTAGATTTTAGCTGGAATTCAATTAAAAGTTACTCAGCCAGGCTGCGAATTCAATTAAGCACAATCATTTTTGGCTTTTGCTGCAATTTTTAGCTAATTCTGGTTTTCCTGCGAATCGGGGCACAGCCGGCTGATGAAAAGGGTTAGAAAAGCTTCGCACTCGCGTGACTCGCTATAATTTCTCCATCAGAGCTGGTGGTTCGGAGTGGTCTGAGGCAAAGGAGCCCACTGTCTGAGGCTTTGTTCCGCTTCCCGTATCCGCCGGCTCTACCGGGTGGGTGTGTCCATCGACCTGCCGGAGACATAGGCTTGGTTCTATATGGTACATGTATCCCTAGTTCCAACCCCTGGCGGTCGGAAAAGTGCGAAACACCCCAACTATTTCAGAGCGCCAAACAGTTGGCGTTGAGCGATTATGGCTGTCAGCTTGAAAGGCACTTTCAGCCTGTTATCAATTCAAACAAACGCCAAAATGCCACAAATGTGAAAACCAAGCGACAGGCGAGGAGCCGCTAAGAGGCCCCCAAATTGTGCAAATCAAATTGAATGCCGTTTTATGAAAGTTGAGTTGACTTTGCCGGCGATTTTTGGCAATTATTTGTAGCTGGCATTTGTGCGATTTCGAAATTTTTGTACTTGTAACAATGCGGATCTCAAGCAGAGCACGTAGGGGTTAAGTTCAACGCCCATTGCATATTAAAAAGTTTTCTAATATTTAGGCAGCACGCTGATATGAGCCAATAGAGCGCAAAATGGGTGTTTTAAAAAATAAATGAGTAGACTGGCCCTTTATGGTAATTGCATGCATAAAGTTCATTTTAAAGTTCCTAAGTATGTTAATACATGTGATTATCGTGAGTTGGAGAACTTGTTGTAAAATCATATATGATATATCTAGTCATTAGACCGGAATCAAATCACGAACTAGTGACTCACAAAAAGCTTGGAAATTAATTGATTTTAATTGCCTGCGGAAATATTGATACTCTTGCTCACAACCCAATTCGCAGTGCAACTTTACCCTAATGCTCGTGTTCGCACTGCGAGTGAAATTATGGCAGACCCACCGGGAAGAGCACTTAATACTTATATTTATGGGCCATCGGTGGAGCCCATATATTGTTTATCCCGCTGGCAAATGTTTATTCGCACCACTCCAAGTTTCAGCGACTGCCCAGATTTTTTTGGTGAAACTAAAGCGGAGTAAACACTCATCGCGTGTTCCGATTAACGAAATCGCATGGGGCTCTCGAGGCCAGGAACCAATGCAGCCCCAGCTCGTTGGCGTTCTAGGGTAAGCCTGCGTCTGGCATCGTAAACAAATGGCCGTCGCAAGGCA